CCGCTAAATAGTGACGGAAATCAAGCACCGAAGAAGAGTTCCGAGCAGAGACCACAGCAGGAATTGTTGAAAAGGGTTGCGTAAATTTTATTTCTTAATTAAAAGGATTTCATCAAAAGTAGCTCAGCTCACGTCAAGGCACAAACGGAGCGCTTAGCAAAGCATTGCGTAAATCCGATACGCGCGGCTTGAATGGTTCTTAACGCATGCTGGGCTTGCAACAAACACGGCGAGAACAAAAATATAATCGAGTTTATGTTTTATTGTAAAATGAGAAGAGAGAAAAAAAATCAACAACAATAAATGGAAATCTCAACTTGAAACTTTCGTGACTGCAGAAAGTCTTTCGGCAAAGTCACGTAGATAGGTCACGTAGATAGGTTTGAACCTATCTACGTGACTTTACCGAAAGACCCAAGAATAACAATAAACGCAACCGTTTAACGTTAGTACTTGGTTGCGAACGCATTGCAACTGTTGCTGTGTCAACCAAACCACACGTGCAAGGCCTATGAACTAGCAAAGCAGACTCAGTATTGTCATCTTCTCCTTCCAAAGAGAAAGCCCGAACACGGATCAAGATCAGCGCTCACCGTCTCAGAGCACCGAGCCGATGGATTTGAGTGCGAAACGTTGCCAGTTCGAATCCGCGTTGTTACAACTACACGTGATGAAACCCGATTTTCGAATTTGGACTTGCTGTGCGTGGGCGCTTGCTTAAATGCCTCAGCCGAACTTCACGTCCAATGTCAACCACTCAAATGCACCGCCTGCTGCAGGCGGGCCCAGGGGAACCCCCAGTGGCAGCTGTCCCCGCGTGGCACACGCCTGGGCCCAGCACCGGCCTGCACCTAGCTGCGTAGCGAGTTGCTTACCAGTCAGCATTTGGCTGCGTTAAAGAAAAAAAAAGCCATGTTTAAAAACCCATCTCGTCACAATTGGTTTCATTCACTTCATGAGGCTTTATTCTGGCTAGAAGAATGTATCGTGCTTGGTCTGTATGGCATGTGATGCACATTCTTTGTGTAACACGTGCACCAGCTGATGAGTACAAACAAGCTATTCAAGGAACCTCACAAGGCAGTTCAGTGACACCACCTTCTCGAGGCTGCTTCTGGAACATCAGCTGGCACCCTGCTGTCTCCAGAACGTTGCGAAATGCACGTTTTGTCTCCGTCTTGTGCCACAGCAGGATGCCGAAAGCACGCTTGAAACAATTATGCGGGGAAGCTCCACATTTTAAAAATATCACAAGTCTCAACACTTATTTTGCATGGTCCGTAACCAGTGTTCAATGCCATGCTACCTCGTTGACCAGTAGCTGAGTGATTCTTCATAGTCTTTGATGCTATCTTATTGTCGTTTGCTGTGCTATGATCTATTGCAGAACATCGTAGGATATGACGTTTCACAAATAGTCATGTGTCAGACCAAAAATCCTGTACTGATGGCAGGCGCAGTCTGAAAGATCCAGTGTTGCTGATTAAGCTTCCAGCACACGTGGAGCGAAACTTCGGACAATCGTGCCGAACTCACATCACCCGATTGCTCTTGAGGTCGAGTTTATATTTCTGTACAAAAAGTAGCGACCCATGATATTCATTGCATATGTGGCCACATACACACAAAGGTCATCCCTGATATCGTTTGTTGTCAATCCAGGCAGTGATGGTAACACGATAGTGTTTAGTTGTTAATCGCAGTACAGTATTACACTGACGGTAATGCATACTGAGACATTTATACTCTAGAATTGTCTAATGCAAAGCGTGCAGATAAAATGCACAGGAGCGCGGTTAGACGATCGGCAGGTGGTGTGCGTTGGGGTGGAACGTGGGGGACTCCTTCCTCTTCCAGGACATCTGCTCAGGGGGGGAGATTCGGCCAAATGCCCTTTAGGAGGCGCACGCCCGGCCTCCCCCCTCTCGTAGAGGCCGCATTCTGCCAGCAGTGGCGTGAGCAAGCGATTGCAGGGTCTGCGCCTTTAACTCGCAAAGATGTTTACGTTCATTTCAATCACCGGACACAGGAGATAAGGCAACACACAGTTAAAGCCTGCATACGAAATATACGTTGCGTTTGTCAAGTATTAAGCAATTAGTGCATATTAGATTAGGTATACTACCATATAATAACAGTGCAAACGTTATTTTTTGACGATACCAATGTTGATTTCCCCATGTGTTGAAACACGTGTGTTGTTTAGGCTTTACTAGACGTAAGTACATTATTTAAAATGCATTGCATTTGTGCATAGATCCAACATCTTTGAAATAACAACATTTTTGGCAAGACATTTCAAATGCATAATCATATATTTCTGTTCTACAGTGGCCTAGAAATAACACGGGTGGATAAGTCGCGGTTTTTGGAGGGGGCGGAGGCGAGGTGGGGGCCTTGGGGTGGCGGGATTTCTGAAGGAACAAATGGAAATTAAATCGTAGCTCTCGATTCTAGAAAACTGAAACTGGTCAAGAGATGATAGTTCAGCGAAGTGGCTTAACATGTGGTAATTTATAGCAGCCCAATACTCTAACAAGTGGATTCTAAACGTGGAGGGAAAACTGGAGGGCTTAGAGAAAAGTTCACGCGACCACGGGGAGAGAGACACGCAGACTACAGATAGACAGCAGGCGTCAGGGTCGGGGTGGAACCCACGACCTCCTGTATACCAGGAGAGGTAGTTAACATATCCTAGCCACCGTGGCATCGTGCAAAGCAGTGCTGACTAATTGTTAATCAAACTATTTGGTGACGCTGCTGCTGCTTGTCCTGGCAGTGGTGGACACGCACAAGTAACGGCACATTCAACACATTCGTCAATAACACTGCGACCTTCAAGGATGTATTTACAATCGGCGACGTGTCGGGCAATGACCCTCGCTGTGCGATAAAGAGGAGTCATTGTCCGACACGTCACCAATTATACGTATGTTCCTTTAAAGGCCACGGTTCTATTGTCGATCGTGTGTCCAGATTGTGTCGTGGCTTGCCTGTTGTTAACCTGAGTTACCACGCTGCACAGAGACGCGACGTTTACGTACGTACGTTGGACTTCTTTCGCGCCGTACGTAGCCAACCGCGCTAATCGGAGGTGCTGGGGAAGGAGAACAAACTAAGCACTCGAAGCAGTTCTAGACGAACTGCTTTGAGTGTTTATGAGCTGGTGCCAAGGCAGCCCCGTTGGAGTCCCCACACCGTGGGGAGCGACTCTCGCTGCTGCGGCAAGTGGTGGATCGTGCGATCCACAGTCAACACAAAGTCACTTTAAGATGTTTTTCTTGTTCGTGTTTTTCGTTTTTTTGTTTGTTGTGGTTGCACCCGATTCAAGAGCCGAATGGCTCACAGGGCTATACCAAAATAGAGAAACTGAACCTGAAATCCAGAATTGGGCTTCGCGATGTTTCAGTGGCTGCATTGCTGGTTTCTTTGACTTTCTGTTACACATATATTTTGACATTGTTCTAAGTTATAATTTAATGTCACAAGAAGGCATTTGAATGGCGATGTCACAAAAAGGGGACATGAGAAAAGTTTGGTCTTCGTGAGAATAACGGATTTTTATAAAAAGAAACCAGATATTAATGTTTGTATGTAGCGGCTGTAACCCCACCGCTGATTGAGCCCAACATTTCAAAAACAAACTGCGCATCGCAACCCTGTAAGTACTGCGATGATGGTGGTGGTGATGCTCACGGATAGTGTTTAATGCAAGAGACAAGCATTCACTTAGTGTCTGTCGTGCAGGGAGGTGCTCGCTGTCGATGTTTGTACCAAACTACTTTTTTTGGAGCTTTTTTCTTTCTTAAACTCTACATGGGAGTAACAATGACCCCCTCACTCACACGAGAGGCGAAGAGTTGCACAGACGTGGGGCTAGCAACCCACTTGCTGTACGTGTGGTCGCCTTGGTGGATATAAGGTGGTCATAGTAAACATTCCCTATCGATAGTGTTTTTTTAATTTACATTCGTTTTCATTACTTTACGTCTTACATTGGTTGTTACGGCTATTAATACTATCTAGTATCGATAACATTCCTGAAGGTGTAGCCCGTAACACGTTATGAATAAGGCTGCATTAATGTCCAATTTGTACACTCGCACATACGACAAAGGCCGCTCCTGAGCCAGGACACGCGCTGTTAGCGAGGGCGCGTGCCGACTGATGCCGGCACAGCGCACAACGAGAGTGGTAGCGCACACACCACGCACTCCTAGGCCGCCTTTGTCTCTAAATGTATCCGAATTGTAATTTTTAATACGGGTACTCAGTTAATGCTGAGTCAACCTACTGGGACACCCAGAGCATGATTAGAATACCATTGACCAACATTGTGCACCGTAGTCAGGAGTCGAACCAGGGAGGTCGTCAATCGCGGTGTTCCGACAGTTCACGCCCATCACACGCCGATGCTGTGTGCATCCATTCGTCGCATTGCCCCTGCTCGTGTGCAGACAGACAGTCTATTATGCATAACATTTATAACCTAAATGTGTGGGTGTGTATATAAATACACGCGGAGATTAATTTATCGCTAGATATTTTCTGAAATGCTGCTGGGCTGGCTTGGAGTAAGGATAACTATCGGCGTAAGGCACTACCACGAGAGTACACGGTATGCCTAGCAGTGATAATCTTGTATTACCGTACCCTTATAATTACTGTCATCCTATGCACAGGTTTATAACAAATGTGAGGACAAAATATCGTGAGAGGGATGTGGCGTGCCAACATTTTCCAGACCAACGCCCCAGAAATTAGGCGCTGCATAGAGACATGTTACAAAGATCCCCCGTATAGCCTTAACAGACTGTTGGGGCAAGTGCTGTTAGCGAGCAGCACCTGTGAAGGCCGGCACGGCACACGAGGGTTTGGGTGGCCAGCACCACGCTCGGCCGCCTTTGTCCTCCTAGTGGCGATCTTTATACACTGCACCAGGTACTCATTTGAGGCTGAGTCGACCTAGGGGAGACCCAGGACCGGTTCAGTTAAAGGTCACTGGTGTTGGCTGTGAGCGGGAATCGAACTCGGGTCACCGGGTTCGTAGGGCAACATAGCGCCCACCACCACTCCCCACCATATCTGCACAGAACTACACGCACACATGCCTATGCTAAACAAATAGCACAACAAAGAGTCAAAAGTGCTTGCATTTAGCCTACAATGCTGCTCTGTACAGAAGAATTACATTGACATATCTAGCCCATTTTGATTGCACTGCTGGACAAGGGGCTCACCCACGCCGTGCGGGTCATTGGGGTTATTTTACCATACTTCACCACGCTGGTTCATGCGGGTTGGTTCATGCGGGTTGGGGGGGGGTCCATGGGAGGTGTGAACACAGTAGAATGGACTTTACTGCCCACTGCCAAAGCAGCTTTGGGCCAGGATAGTGCTAGGATGTGCGACTATAATGCATTCACAGGTGTTACAGGCTGCTGGGGTATCTACCCGCCCACAGTAACCCGTACTGACCATCGTGAAGTATGGTCCAAGTGAACCCTACGACCCTCAGGGAGTGGGGAGGCCCTCATCTATCAGTGGCTGTGCACGTGGTCCATTGTGTTAGCCTGTGAGCTAATCCTTTACCACCTCTACATTGTTGTGTTCACTGCTGTTGCCCGACAGCTCGTTCCGTCAGACAGTGGTGTGTTACCGTACTATACCGATTACACGATTCACCCCCCCTGTATTTTAAAGCAAATTTTGTGGGAAGGGGTGCGTATTATAATCCGTTGTGTGTGTGTAAGATTAGATTTGTATAACTTTATTGACACCGATAAAGCGTTGGGGGGGGGGGGGATGGGGGGTATGGAAGAGGTGCCTCTTAATTTTCTGGAACGTCTTTATAATGCAGACAATACTACGGTATCTGACAAGCGACGCCGTGGGACCACGACGGACAACGGCGACTCGGCGTGACGCGTCGAGTGGCCGGCACGGCACGGAGGAGCGAGCACGTGGAGCTCTTGGGCTCCGGTGAGCTCATGACACTACATCTTACGGAATGTGAACACGCCAACTTCAAAATTGTACGTACAATCTGACCTGTGAGAGGGGGAGAGAGGGAGAGGCGTTGACAACAATCGTCGCGGCGAGGGATCGATTCTTTGTCTCTCCAGGAATGTGTCACTTGGCCGAGTTGTGATCCATCCACGCAGCTGAACGTGTTTGACAGACCATTGCGTGTCACATATTGATGACATTTTTTAGTGTAAGCCAGTTGAATTATCCATGCGTCACTCTTAAAGGGATTGTATACCCACTCTCTGCGAATGTAAATCTATGAAAAACCTTCAGATTTTTTTTAATTCGACAAAATGGTTTTCACCGTACCTGGTCATCTCCAACTATGAGGCAGTCAATTATCGTCCCATGTTACAAACGGTTCCCTCTCGAAACTACCGGGTATATTTGTCTGCCTATGGTTGTATGCCAATGCAGTCCTTTAATCTGCTTGTATCTATGTTTAACTTTTTTCGCACCGTACGTAGCCAACAGTGCTAATGGGAGGTGCTTCAAGAAATCTTGCAGATTCTGGACTGAAGCTCGCAAATGGAGAAAGCTATTTAATTTATTGGGAAAAGGGGCCCACCTTGATCAATATTGGAACCATGATTGATTCAAATAAATGAGAATCTCACGGTAATTTTTTTTTATATATAAATGTTCTCTCTCAAAACCAACACGCGCGGCTGAGTCGAGGCGGACGTGGGGGCTACACCTGCAGGTCATCTGAGCGCACCCTACTGCTCGCCCTGCTCAACCTCCTCAGATCGATGTCGTGCTCGCCTCCCGAGTGCAGAGGCGGGTCGTGCAACTGCACCGTAGCCGTCAGAACCTCCGCCTCGTCCTCCAGAGCCGCAGCCAGAGCGGCAGCGACGGCGGCCGAGGATGATGGACAGGCGGCAGGAGAGGACGCGGCCCAGGGCTGCAGCAGCAGCAGCGGCGACGCGGGCGGAGGTGGAGCGCCGTGCGGCGGTGGCGGAGTGCGCATCGCGAGGCTGCGGCTCACGGGCTGCGGCGCGTGCCTCGCGTGCCTCGCGTCGCCGCTCGTGGCCTGAGCAACCCGCCGCCTCTCCTCCTCCTCCCAGTTGGCCCAATTCTGCCCGTCCACGCCCTGCGCGACGAGACGTCCCCCCGCGACGAGGTCTCTGGTCGCCGTGCGGAAACTCGGCGGGTCGTAGTTGCGTTCATCTGTGGGCGGCTGGTAGTAGGTGTAGGAGATGGGCTGCGAGGAGGTCTTCACCGAGTGTTGGTCGAGCGAGGGCGGGTGGTGTTTCATCGCGGACTGCTGCTGCTGCTGTTGCTGCTGCTGACTCATCTTTTCGTAGCGCTTGCCGAGCCCCTTGCGGATCTTCTTCCAGCCCAGGTGGTACATCTCCAAGAGGTTGAGCAGCAGCGAGAGGCAGGCCACCACAAGCATGAAGAGGATGAAGATGGTCTTCTCGGTGGGACGCGAGATGAAGCAGTCGACCACATTGGGGCACGGGCTCCTGCTGCAGCGGTAGAGCGGTCCCAGGCTGAAGCCGTAGAGGAAGTACTGGCCCACGATGAAGCCCACCTCGAAGATGGTCCTGCTGAAGATGCTGAGCACGTAGGTGCGGAGCAACGCGCCCTTGATGCACACCTTGCCCTGGTCGTTCACGTAGGTCTTCCTTAGCTTCGGCGGGCCGCCCTTTCTGCCCTTGCCACCGTCGAGGAGCGCCTTACAGTCGTCCTCGTCCTCGTTGGGGTGCAGCTTCCTCCATTCCTCGAGCTCCTCCTTCCTGCGCGACTCCATTCGCATGATGTGCAGCACGTGGCCCAGGTAGACGAGCGCCGGCGTGGACACGAAGATGATCTGGAGCACCCAGAAGCGGATGTGCGAGATGGGGAAGGCCTCGTCGTAGCAGACGTTCTCGCAGCCGGGCTGCTGCGTGTTGCAACGGAAACCCGCCTGCTCGTCGCCCCACACGCTCTCGGCCGCCGCTCCCAACACGAGGATTCGGAAGATGAAGAGCACGGAGAGCCACACCTTCGTGGAGCAACAGCGGGGAGGAAGCCGAAGCGTCACCGGTTATTGTGAGAATTATTGTGATAATTAACATGATGTATGTGCTATGATGAAGGGTCATTGCACGAGCGTCGCCTATTATGTGTTATACATTTTAAGGGCGCTATAACGGAGCGTCTACAAATTCAATGGTCGCGATCGGATATGGATACTGGATTGTGTAGACATCCTGGTAAATGTGATGGCTGTAGGGGTTACGCTCTCGAAGGAATGATGGCTGATGATGAAGGATTTTGTGGTGGAGTGGCGGCCGAGAAATGGCAGGCGGCTCCTAAAGGACTTCAATGGTGGAGATGGAGCGTTGGAACCAGCTCACGCGTAGCGAGATGCCAGATGGATTGTTTAATCGCGAGACGGTAAGAGTTAGCGACGGGTTTTTATTGTACTATTACACGTGTCATTCGTAATCATAGTCATCGTCAGCCATGGTCAATCCACTTATTGATGAAAGCCCGTCTACGCCGTGTCGGCCACTTGGTCATAAGCGTCTGTTGTGCCATAGTTCACCACACTGGTCACCGCGAGTTGCTCTGAGCTGATATACAGGAGGATGATGATGTCTGCAGACACAAACTGCAGAGCAGGGCCCTTGTCAGCCCCGTTAAGCACAGCCCTAGACACTCCCTGTATTGTACAACCACGACCACCCACAAAGATGAAGCGTGCTCATATAACCACGCACCGTGCGTGGAATTGGCATAAAATTAGGACGGCTATATTTATGACAGTGAAATGTATTCCCTTCTTCTGAAAGTGGAACCTCTTTCCGCATTCTCTACTCACTCTCGGCACCACCAACGCCACCATAACCACCACGACCACGTTTCCCCATCTCTTCTCTCACCACCACCATCAACACCAGCCATCCACTCTTCCTGTACATCACCCCGCACAGCACCCACTCCAAGGGCAGAGCCGCGCCGTGCAAGCTATCAATGAATTGGTACCGGTGGTTATTGATGAGATTACAGATAGGGTCCGTGAATTTGGCCCCCCCACTTCATCACGCCATGGACAAAAGGAGTTATAAGGCAAATCATTCCCATACAGTGTATTACATCTACGCAATTACTGCAGGCGACTGCTGTGTGTGTGTGAGAGAGAGGGAGAGGCCTCTCATCAGCGTGATCATCGTCTTCACCACGTCGCCTTGTTACAGGGAAAAACACACTGGGCTTATTCTGACTTGCCGTGACTCGAGACCAGCATCTTGTGCGTCTCTCTTAGCCACGTGATAACAATGTATGGGTGTCTATTCGCCAATAAAAAAAAATGTTGCGGGGGGTTCTCTTATCCGGATTAAAATAAATGTGTGGTTGTCTGTTGGCCATATCTTAAAATGTTGCGGGGTTTCTTTTCGCAATAAATGTTGCGAGTGTCTCTGAGCAGTTTATTAAGCGGTCGGGCTGTCCGGACACCCAGAGTGACTCCGCTCCGAGCACCACTCACCAAGACAAAGATGCCCCCTATAGCCTCAACATACGATTGGGGAAAGTGCTGTTAGCGAGCACCTATGAAGGCCGGCACGGCATACGAGAGGGTGGGTGGCTAGCACCATGCCCGGCCGCTTTTTCTCTCCCTAGTGGCGATGTTTTACACATCGCACCAGGTACTAATTTGAGGCTGAGTCGACCTAGGGGAGGCCCAGTACCGGTTCAGATACTCGTCACTGGTGTTGGCCGTTAGCGCGAATCGAACCCGGGTCGCTAGGTACGTAGCGCAGCGCGCTAACCGCTACACTACCGCTCCCTACACTTTCACACACACTCACTTACACACTCACATTCACACACATTCACACACATTCACACACACTCACTTTCACACACATTCACACACACACACACTTACACACACATTAACACTCACTCACGCACTCACACACACTCACACCTTGGCCACGGCTACGCGCGGCGAGTCAGGGCTGCGTGCCTTGCGGACACCAGGCTCTGACCTTGCCGACCACGGTGGAGTGCGTCTGCGCGTTCTCCAAGAGCCTCCCGAGGAAGCTCCAATCGCCCATCGTGCGTGACGCTCAGACCCGAGGCAGTGGAGAGTCGCCGTGCAGAGACACCCGTGGCCTTGCGGTCGCTCGCGAGCGGGGGGTCTGAGGCAAAACGCGCACGGTAAATTGTGCTCGGGCAGACTTGGAATAACATCGACACGGTGGTCATCTTCGACGTTTTGACACGGGCAGCCGTACGAGTCACGACAACGCGGGGTTGGCGGTGGGACGGGGGGGGGGGGGTCGCATCGACGAGCGCGCACGGCTCGAAATGACGCAGCCGTCGCTCGGTTCGAGTCGTCGGGCACGGCGAGCGCGAGGGGCGACTGATCTGTGGACCGACTGATGTGGGGACCGACTGATCTGTGGACCGACTGATGTGGGGACCGACTGATCTGTAGATCGACTGATCTGTGGACCGACTGATCTGTGAACCGACTGATCTGTGGACCGACTGATGTGGGGAGCGACTGATCTGTGAACCGACTGATCTGTGGACCGACTGATCTGTGGACCGACTGATCTGTGGACGGACTAATCTGTGGACCGACTGATCTGTGGACGGACTAATCTGTGGACCGACTGATCTGTGAACCGACTGATCTGTGGACCGACTGATCTGTGGACCGACTGATCTGTGGACGGACTAATCTGTGGACCCACTGATCTGTGGACCGACTGATCTGTGGACCGACTGATCTGTGGACCGCTCCTGGGCTCCCCTCACTCTTCACCCACCGGCAGCAATCAGCGTGGGGAAGGATGGTCAAACGATGCCCGCGTGCTGGGAGGCCTTCATCCAGCAGTGGATTGACAAACGGCAGTACTTCATTTTTTACCTGTTCATGAATGTTCGTCGTCGCATAGCCAGGGCGTGTTAATGACCACGCTGAGAGAATTTCCAGCACGTACTTTCACACTGATAGCGACTGATTAGTGAAGTATGAGTGAGTGTTGTATTTAACTTCTGTCTGCGAGTCAGACTGCCCTTCACGCTCTGCATGCGGGCAGCGTTTGGTGAATGGTGGTTTATTACATATATATTAGACGTTGCGAATATGGTTACTGTCTTAATTTATCTACTTTTAATAGAAGGTTTTTATATTATTGGTTCAATCGGTAAAGTCGCGTAGAAGGGAAATAATAAAATGATAAAAATAAAACAGAATATAATAAAATTATCACGACGTTTCGGCCACAACGCAAGCAGCCGTCCTCAGGTGATCAGTTTTAGACCGCAGGTTCCAAAGCTCAGTCAAGATATTGTCACCCACATCGATTGAGAGAAGTCGAGCGACCAGGATCGAGTTTCACTCGCCTGAGCCACTAGGTTCACCGAGATGACTTTACGCAAAACAAACTCAAGTGGAGGAATGGAGTCAATAGAAATCGCTGCAAAAAACAACCGTGTCACAAAAAGCATGGAAATATCCCACACAATTCTTAGCAATGTCAAATACAGTTATACATTCCCTGGAGCGTAAGTTGACTCGGGCTGATTATTTTTGGACATATCATAGTACTATTACAAATTAAGTGACAGAAACATTAAACATCTCTAGGGTGATTTGTACAGTATGGATATTTATAAACAGACACCATTTTTAGCGATGCGTCACAACATGATGGCCCTCTCTCCATCTGCTCTGACAAAGGGCCATTACCCAAAACGTCAGTTCAATAGACAGTTTGTATATTCCGTTGTGAGACGTCGCACCGGATTATCGCGGATACAAGAGCGCTCGACTGGCTTGCGAGTTACAATCCGAATCTGGGGTGCGATTCACTCATCATCATTTCAAGGGAGAGTACCACTTTTGTAGCAAGTCAAACAGTGGTTGCCCTCTGGATACACTTAACCCCGCCATGGGAATGCGGAATTTCCACCACCGGCTCAGGGGTTGCCAAAGGAGATGTGAATTGCCCTGCCGCTTTTTTGAGCACTGCAGCATCCTGCCTCTGTCTCTTGCAAGGACTGAGTCTATCGTACAATAAATGTAACATTAGAATTGAATGTCGCAAAAATAATGTATAGGAGGGTGGGTTAAGAGACCCCCCCCCCTAAGGAACATTCCATATTTGTGATGTAAACTAATGTACACTCGACAGACTATTCAGTTCCATCGGTTTGAATGACAAAGTTACAAAGAGTATTTTACAGTTATGTGTCAATCTACGTCTGGATGAACACCTCCCCCACATCATGCCGGTAATGGGGGGTTGTTTGACAATACTTCACCGCAACAGACCAGCGTGGTGAAACATGTTTGGCCATACTTCACCGCAACAGACCAGGGTGGTGAAACATGTTTGGCCATACTTCCCCACGTCGGTTAGTAGCGAGGGTAGGAGTACTCAGGACCGGCTGGGACATCAATCGTGGTTGAATCTAACTCAACTTAGGTTGAGGGGTTTATGAGCGCACTGCGCTAACCATTGAGCCACCACTCCCCCCCCCCCCCCATCTCTCCGCCCCCTTAAATGAAATCAGTGGATGCACTTATTTCCACTTCAAATGTAACTTAGCGGAGTCACTTGGAGATTTTGTGCTTCGAATCTTGTGTCTATGTGGGGCATTTTCATCTTCCTCTCCACAACGTTGAGAAGATTCCTCATCAGCCCCACTGCCTGCCCTGCGTGCCCATCCGGGTCTAAAATATAAACGTCTGGTTTAAAAAAAACATTCATTAAAAACCAACCATAGGCAAGGTAGGGCCGGTGGTGCAGTGGTTAGGTCAGTGCGATATGAACCCAGCCAGCTGAGTGAGATTTTCCCGGCCACGGCTATAACATCAGTGGCGATTTCTCATTCACGACTGGACATCTGAAAAAGAGCTTCATAGCTCATCGGATTCCTCCGGTCTAAAGCAAGATTCTGAATCACTAACCCGCCAAACAACCTCCCTCGCCCCCTCTCACCTCCACCCATGGCCGAAGCAACGTGGGGAGGCGTTCATCCAGCAGTGGATTGACGAGGGTGGGCTGTCAGTGAAGCGGTGGGGATGAGAGTCTTACCTGGTGCAGCTCTTTACAGATGACAGCGCGCAGCGAGCCAGGTGCGTGAACTTAAGTGTCACTTCAAGAGCCTCCCAGCGCCTCGCACCGATACCCTCACACCACCCCCTGCCCTTCGTGCACGAAGCGGCAGCTGTCAACGTTCGATCTCCTGGCGTGGCACTCGTTCAGAAAGTTGTGATGGGTGCCTGTGACGCGCGCGCGTATGTGTGTGTGTTGTGGCAGTGACCTAAACCCTTCCCACCACCCCTCCTTCGTCTGTAAATAGCTGCCTCGGGTCGTCCTGTTAGCTCATCAATCACTGGGAAGAGGCGCTCTCATTTGCGTACTCGTGGCCACTGTGGTGGTGCCTTTAAGTTGCGCAGGGAGGGTGACGTTCGAGATGGGGCGCGGTTAAGACTTAACTCGTTACTCTCCCGCTCACTGCGTGTGTGTGTGTTCGTATGTCTCTGTGTGTGCGTGTGTTCGTGTGTCTGTGTGTGTGTGTCTGTGTGTGTGTTCGTGTGTCTCTCTGTGTGTGTTCGTGTGTCTGTGTGTGTGTGTCTCTGTGTGTGTGTTCGTGTGTCTCTCTGTATGTGTGTTCGTGTGTCTGTGTGTGTGTTCGTGTGTCAGTGTGTGTGTGTGTGTTCGTGTGTCTGTGTGTGTGTGTGTTCGTGTGTCTGTGTGTGTGTCTCTGTGTGTGTGTTATTGTGTCTCTCTGTATGTGTGTTCGTGTGTCTGTGTGTGTGTTCGTGTGTCAGTGTGTGTGTGTGTTCGTGTGTCTATCTGTGTGTGTGTTCGTGTGTCTGTGTGTGTGTGTTCGTGTGTCTTCTGTGTGTGTGTTCGTGTGTCTCTGTGTGTGTGTTCGTGTGTCTCTGTGTGTGTGTTCGTGTCTCTGTGTGTGTGTTCGTGTGTCTGTGTGTGTGTGTGTTCGTGTGTCTCTGTGTGTGTGTTCGTGTGTCTGTGTGTGTGTGTTCGTGTGTCTGTGTGTGTGTGTGTGTTCGTGTGTCTCTGTGTGTGTGTTCGTGTGTATGTGTGTGTGTGTGTGTTCGTGTGTCTCTGTGTGTGTGTGTGTCTCTGTGTGTGTGTGTTCGTGTGTCTGTGTGTGTGTTCGTGTGTCTCTGTGTGTGTGTTCGTGTCTCTGTGTGTGTTTTCGTGTGTCTCTGTGTGTGTGTTCGTGTCTGTGTGTGTGTACGTGTGTCTCTGTGTGTGTGTTCGTGTCTCTGTGTGTGTGTTCGTGTCTCTGTGTGTGTGTTCGTGTGTCTCTGTGTGTGTGTGTTCGTGTGTCTGTGTGTGTGTTCGTGTGTCTGTGTATGTGTGTGTTCGTGTGTCTCTGTGTGTGTGTGTGTTCGTGTGTCTGTGTGTGTGTGTTCGTGTGTCTCTGTGTGTGTGTTCGTGTCTGTGTGTGTGTTCGTGTGTCTGTGTATGTGTGTGTTCGTGTGTCTCTGTGTGTGTGTGTGTTCGTGTGTCTGTGTTCGTGTGTCTCTGTGTGTGTGTTCGTGTCTGTGTGTGTGTTCGTGTGTCTCTGTGTGTGTGTTCGTGTGTCTCTGTGTGTGTGTTCGTGTGTCTCTGTGTGTGTGTTCGTGTCTCTGTGTGTGTGTTCGTGTGTCTCTGTGTGTGTGTTCGTGTCTGTGTGTGTGTCTCTGTGTGTGTGTTCGTGTGTCTCTGTGTGTGTGTTCGTGTGTCTGTGTGTGTGTGTGTGTCTGTGTGTGTGTTCGTGTGTCTGTGTGTGTGTTCGTGTGTCTCTGTGTGTGTGTTCGTGTGTCTCTGTGTGTGTGTTCGTGTGTCTCTGTGTGTGTGTCTCTGTGTGTGTGTTCGTGTGTCTCTGTGTGTGTGTGTGTTCGTGTGTCTCTGTGTGTGTGTGTCTCTGTGTGTTCGTGTGTCTCTGTGTGTTCGTGTGTCTCTGTGTGTGTGTGTCTAGTGGGGAGCGGTGGTGCACGGGTTCGATTTCCGCTCACGGCCAACACCAGTGACAATTATACTAACGGGTCCTGGGACTCCCCTAAGTCGACTCAGCCTCAAATTGAGTACTGTACCTGGTAAGTGTCTAAACATCATTGCCATGAGGGAGACAAAGGCGGCCGAGTGTGGTTCTGGCCACCCACTCCCTCGCGTGATGTGCCGATCTTCATCGCTGCACGCTAACACCACTTGCCCCATCAATCTGCTAAGGCTGTTACGGGGGAACTTACCTTTATTGGCCGGATAGAGGGGGGTTAAACGGGCGCGGCATGTGCTAGATAAGACAGGGGCTGATGTGGTAGAGGAGGATGTTGAGCTGATCGGATTCCCCGATGACAAGGACCAGCGGTGTCACCATCCGCCTCTACGGAGGCGCCTCTAACGTCACTGGCGAGCGATATTATAGCCGCTCCTGCAACTCTCTCCCAAGTCGACTCAGCCTTCAAACAAGTGCCCGGTGCTGTGTGTATCAAACAACAACTCGGCACTGGGGAAATAAAGGCGGTCGTGGCTGGCTCTGGCCACAGCATTCCGCGTGTACACCGCCTCGGCCTTCGGAGGTGCTACTCGCACTTGCCTCACCAGATTGCAAATGCCTACATGGGGGGGGGGGGGGGGTCTTTGTAGCTGTTGCGTCTGTGTGTGTGCAGTACGCTTTGTTGAGACATCAGCCTCGCGTACACCCCTATTCAACGGAATATAAGATGCACTGTTTTTACCCCCCCCCCCCAACCAAACATCTAAACAACTAAAAAAAACACCCAAAAAACCCCCAAAACACCATTCTAAACCGGTAGATGTCTGTGCCTCGTGATCACATTCGTTCATTCAACTTTGTCGAAGAGCGGGGCAACAGCTCTGACGGTTGCCGTCTTTCTTGGCGGAGCGTCTTCTGAGTCGTGAGAACGCGGCCATGGGCCTCCACGTCTCTCCCACAGGGCTGCGTGCTGCTTCTGCGTGTACCCGGCACTCACGTGGATTAATAACAGCGAGTGCTGCTGCTGCTGCGCATTGCTCAGAGGTGCACGACCGCCGCAACTGCGACTGAGTTGCGTCTGCGGCGTCCGTACATCGTGAGACGAATGCGGCTTACAGCACTGGATCTCTGGCACACTCGTGGTGGCGATTGTTGCATCGGACGACAAGCGGTGGGCCTCCGAAGGCATTCGTCCAGCAGGGGATTGACCACGGCCGACGGTGATGATTACACGAGGGGGTCTTTTACATGGCATGTTTATTCTGCAGTTGCTCTATGTATGTTGAACGACGTCGTCGACCGTGCTAATCGGAGGTGTGTCAATAAGTCATTGCAGGGCTGCGCCTCTAACTTGTCTAACTGCTGGGCGGGCGACGGCGGCTGGGCGCAGTGGCCATGGCACAGCGCGCTCCTCGTGAGGTTCGCTCGGTGACTGGCTCCCATTCCTGGCAGCGGCGAACATCAGTGGCGAGAGAGAGATCTGAATCCCTCCTCCGCTTCACAAACCCGCAGTGGTCAGCGAACTGTGGAACAAACTCAAACGCCGACACGGTTGAAGACGTGTTGTTAATTGGTGTTATTAGAAATGTGACTTTAACACGAGGGCGATTTATCTCCATTTGCTTCACGGCCCTCGTCTCCACGAGCCACGTCGCACTCGTGAGGAGGTGTCCAGTTTAAAGGGCACAGAGGGTCCACGCCCTCGTACAACATCGATCACTCAATCTTGATTTGAAGCTTTTGTGACTGCAGGAAAGCTTCAAAGTTTGGCTGTAGGGGTTAGGCACGGGAGGGGGGAGGAGTTTGGCTGTAGGAGTTAGACACGGGAGGGGAAGGAGGAGTTTGGCTGTAGGAGTTAGACACGGGAGGGAGGGGGAGGAGGAGTTTGGCTGTAGGAGTTAGACACCGGAGGGGGGGTGGAGGAGTTTGGCTGTAGGAGTTAGACACGGGAGGGGGGGGGGTGGAGGGGTTTGGCTGTAGGAGTTAGACACAGGAGGGGAGGGGAAGGAGGAGTTTGGCTGTAGGGGTTAGACACGGGAGGGGAAGGAGGAATTTGGCTGTAGGAGTTAGACACGGGGGAGGGGAGGAGTTTGGCTGTAGGAGTTAGACACCGGATGGCTTCGTGAACAAATCTCTGATGGTGGCCCGAGGGTTTGCAGAGTACCTTGGTCTCGGAGAAAACAACGTCACGTGTTATCAATGTCACGTGTGCCCACAGCGTGGAAACGATGATCCGCCACCGCCGAGGTGTTGGTTCTGCCGTGTTTCAAATCCGCTTTGTGCTCGCGAACCCGGTCTGAGACACGTCGCTTCGTTTCACCAATGTAACTGCTGCCGCAGACACAACTCAGCTTATAGACACCAGGACATTGCATGTCCGGAATCACATCCTTCACCGATGGGATCAAAACACGGATTTTGTGTACTGTATTGAACCGAACTTGGATCTTGTGTTTGTTTAAGATTTTGGCAATCCTTTTGGTAACCCCTACTATGTATGGTACGGTGATGGTTTTGATTGGGTCCTCAGATGGTTCTCTACCCATGGTTGGGGATGCAGCTTTGCGGATTGTGCGGTCAGAATATCCATTCCTCCTGAGAGCCTGGCATACGTGTTAAAGCTCAATGGCTAGGTGGTGCTGGTCGGAGATGCAACGGGTCCTATGGTGTAGTGTTTTGATGAGGGAATTCTTCTGGGCTGGATGGTGGTGGGAGTCAGGCTTTAGATAGGCATCCGTGTGGGTGGCTTTCCTATAGACAGTGTCTCAACGAGCCATCAGGTCTCATCTCGATCAAAAGATCCAGGAATGGTAGCTTGCCATCATTTTCTACTTCCATGGTGAATTTGATAGACGGGTTTATGGAATTGATGTGGTTGACAAATTGTTATTGTGCCATCCAGCCATGTGGCCAGATGACAAACGTGTCATCTACGTATCTCTTCCACAAGGAAGGACGTCGGGTGGATGTCTGGATGGCATCTGTCTCAAATTTATCCATGTAAATATGATAGCCAAACCTGTAGCGAGCCTCCCCTAGGTCGACTCAGTCTTAAAAGTATGTCCTACCCGGCGCGGTATGTTAAACAACAAGGACGGCCCAGGCTGGCGTTCTGGCCACGCTAAGCCGAGGTCGACTTCCCCTTTAATAAGTATCCTACCTGGTGTGGTGGGTAATCATTAGTAACGGGAAGACAAAGACGGTCGGGCGTGGTTCTGTCCTCGCCACCGCAGGGTTGCCGTCTCGGACTCAATAGGTACTCGCTAACAGCACTTACACCCTAGAGTCCATGTGTATAAACGGGAGCTATGTTGTAACTGTGTGTGAGTCTCGTGCTGGCCACCCGCCCTCGCCTGTGTCGTGTCAGCCTTAATAGGCGCTCGCTAACAGCACTCGTTTTAGCATTAAAACGAAATCAGGGCAGCGTGTGCCAAGTCGGAATGCCGCTGTGGTATAATCTCG